CTTATAGAAATACGACAAAAATGCAAGCGATTGCAAGATAAGTGGGCTCTCTTGCGCGCGCATTATTTATCAGCTCGCGCAATGTGAAATTATATTCACTAAACTTGTGATGAGGTAAAACACATTTGTTATCCCTTTCATCGGCAACAATAATGTAACTCACGCGGCAGCCTCTCGCGCGGCGTTTCAGCATTATACATCACGAGTTATTAAAATAAAATTACAACCTTCTCCCTGGTCCGGCTTAGCGGCCGATGATTTACGCGTTGTTTCGGCAGAAATCGTAAACGCGCGCGGGCAACGACGTTCGCATTAATATTGAAATATTTACGATCTGATGATCTCCAAGGCGATTCTTCATTATTAAGAAATCACGGACGGCCCCTAATATTTGATCGCGCACTAAAATCATCCGACGGCACGCTCGATTTTTATTACTTATCGTCCGTCGAATCCCGTGAGAACGCCCCGTCCTCTCCACTCTGTGGTACGAGTGGTAAACGCGTAAACGCCATTCGGACGTCTTTCATAGCGTCATTCTCTCTCTCGTTCGCGCGTATATAAATTCCCGCACGTTTCGTCGAGATTTATGGACAATTTTGAACTGGGCTCGTCGAGTCCAAACGTCAAGCGTGGAATTTTCGTCGTTGAATGGACCGTTTCGGGAGGGAATTCAGCGGGGCACGTTTGTGGAATTAAACATACGGATGAAAATATCCCCCCTTTTCCACCAGTAGCCGTGCGTCTATGGTGAACAATGATAGCATCCTCCTCTTAATCTCCGGGTCTCTCGCTGGTTTCGAGGCGCCGCGCCGTCCACGGTCACGGCACGTACACGACTCGCCATTGTGACATGCACCGTGAAGCGGACACGGATTCGGTCCTGTCGACCGGTAATCCCATCAAATCGGAAAGAACGGCGTCCTTCACCCGGGCCGAGAGTTACGAGCCTCATTGTCGACACGTGGGCGGGCAACCCCGATTAAATTCGCTTGCTTTGTAAACCCAAATTACCGTAACGTCGAATATCGTGCTTACTGACGTACGTGGTTTGCATTTGCAAAGTGGATGCATTTTGCATTAAGAGATTTTCCTTTCTTGCGCGATTCTGCAAACTAGGCGGGCTTGAAATATTCGCGAGAAATATTCGGTAATCGTAATTATCGTAATTACAAGGTGCGGAGATAATTCTCGCAGAAGCACAGATTCATACTGTAATTCGTATTGCATTGCACTTAAAGTACAATCTTTGTTGAACCTTCCAAATGAAGGACGCTCCGAAATCGTAGATTAATTTAGTTTAATTATTGAATTTTAATTACAAATCCATGGACTACAATATGGGCGTTAATTCTTTTTATAGTGCATTTATTGGGGCATCAATTTGTAAGCAATTAAAATAAAAAGGTTTTGCAAAATGCAATAAAATCTTAACAAACTCAATTGTAGTCAAGTGGATTTTATTAGTTCAAAAATTTAATTCAAGACTTAATTATTTATAAAACGTATAATCAAGGTAAAAAAATGCAAAAAATGACCCGATAAATATATAAGCGATACAATGAACAAACATGCGAAAATAACGTGCTTCAATTTTCTATCATCTCAGTGTCTAGTTAAATTAAGTTTGTCCAATAAAGCTCGAGCTACCATTCTGAGACACATGAAATCGATGGAAAACGAGGTCGGTTATTGGAAAAATATAAATATTTGACATGTTTCTTGAATATGTACCGACCGCTTTTGAGAACCGCGTTTCAACCGCGGTCTCGTGTTTTGCTTAACGCTATTCTACGACGGCATCGACGATCTCACGTACTATATACTTTATTCGACGAACCTTTCTCGTCCCGGGCGCATTTACATACTCATTAATCCCCGCGCTCTTGTATCGCATTAACGTATCCCTCTATACAGAGTCTATACGTACGCGCGCCGCGGTTAAATCTTTCTCAATGAATTAGCGATCGACGGCCGCGTCAATCGGCCCGACATCAATTATTCCTTTCGGCGCATCGTCGCCGGTGCCGGTTTGTGATCACGCCGGCAAGAGCACGCGTATTTATTTATATGCATGGAAATCGGCCTGACCAACTTTCGAACTTTCAGAGGCGTATATCGCAGCCAGCTCGCTGGATCGGCCGAAACAAACCGGTTGTTCGAATGGTCAAGCGTATCTCGGATCGAGCTTGCGGAATAGATTATAGACGAGGTGTACAATAACGTTTTCATGGCCGTGTCTAATAATCAATTGGTGATAAGATAAGACGATTTAGTCTGATCGGAGAGTGTTATCGCGAAGTCACTTCGCGAGAAGGAAAATAAAAGGAATACGCATATGGGAGAAGTTAATAGCATTCGTTGAATATAAGATTATGTAAACAAAAAATTATTTAAATAATAATAATAATAATATCAAGTATCGTAAAAATAATTATACATTATAATATGACAACAGTGACAGAAATAATGAAAATATTTTAGTGTTTAATATATTAAGAAGCTGAGTTTTCTGTTGTCTTTAATAATGAATGATAAATAGTACCACCTCGACTGATAGAAGTCTTCCTCATTTATTTGTGTTACTCTTAAGTGGCCCATTTCCATGTATTATTAATAATATATATAATGAGAATGAAAACAGGATCTACGTATAAACGCCGCTTGTTCTAATATTGTTTATCTCGACGCTCTCGATCACATTGAATTATTCATGCGTGAGACTAGCGCCGAAGTGCAGGTTGTGCGCCGTGACATCTATGGCAGGCAGAGATTCATGAAGCGCAGTAATTCCATCGTGCACCTAACGAGAGCACGCGAATCATGGCAATTACGCTGTCGGTAATTATCATCTCGCAGACTAAATACCGGACAGAGGCTCTCAAGTGCAATCTTTGTCTATGTCGCGGTATCGCGATTGGCGTAAGCCATCGCCGCATAGCGAATCGAAGTTGCACGTGGCCCGGGCGGTTCTTGAAGAACGATTTCCTCGAACATATTGCGATAACGTATATTTAGCAATTACTTAAAAAACCGTAGAGGTGAAACCTTTCTTGCAGTGACTCTTTTGAACGAAGTATGTTTCTCCCAAGAATTACAGAGGTATCATCGCTTTTAGTCTTTAAATATAATTTTAAAAAGTGAATAAATCTTGGAGAGCCGCCATCTTGGTAAAAGTATTTTTGATAATATGCATTAGGAACAGATAAAGTTAAGAGTCACGCGAAGCGTGACAAGAAGGGCGACAATTCGGCGATGAGGTAAACCGATCGATATAGAATGCTCGGTATCGCAGTACTAGTGATATCATGTTTCTTGAATGAAACCGCAAAAGACGCGAAACCGCGCTAGGCATAACACGCCGCACCAGACCTCAGGCTTGAGGTCATTGTGAAATTGTAACTATGACATCATACGATAAGACGTATGTACAGGTCCGCGAATTGTGAGAGTCGTGCCGTGTCGTTACGTAATGGAACACACGAATATGCTAGCTGTAAAATCGATTCCAAGATTTTGTCGCTGTTGCGTCTCTCTGCCGTCGATCAAATAATCATTCCGAATAATTTATAATTAGCGATATAGAGATAAATGTAACGAGAACGATCGATTCTTTAATACCTTTATATTTGGCAATTAATTAAAAAACATATAATACGATATATTATTAAATAAAGCTTGCAATTACAAGCATTGATCATCTGCAATAAATTGTAACAATCTGAATCAATCGATGCTTTCGTTAATACGGAAATATTACGGGTAATATTTATACTAATTTACAATAAAACATTGAAATATTTCAATAATTATGTAATGATATTATATCTTTTCGCGAAAATCGACAACTTTGTTTCATTATAAATTAGGCAAAAATTTAAATCATGCAGGAATTGGAATTTTAGACATTTAGGAATGTGCTCCTGCTCAACTGTCTGGCAAATTTATATAGTACGAGATATCGACGCCAATGTAGTATGCAGATGGGTATTAATTATACGTTCAATCAATCAGATACGTCGAATATGTACGCGATCGATGCAACCACGATCTGACACTATAAGTGGTGGTTAGTTATACCCAAAATTAATTAGAATACTAAAATATACCGTGCAAAACGAGGATCCACTTTTTTTTAAGTAGAACAACATCATGAAAAATGCGTACGCGTTTGAAAAATAAATTTAACTGATGCACGTGTCTCGAGTACTTTCGTGCAAAATTATTGTAGATACACGTGAAATTAAAACGGTATTAATTAGTTGATTATAAAAAGCGGTTTGTCGAATATTAAAAAAAAATACTGTTCAGTTCACTTCAGTTTACTTCACATCGTCTTCATTGAATAAATGGACGGCGTACAGTGTAGAGGAAAAGTATATTTTACTCCTTAATGGGCCATCACATCTCGGCTCATCACAGTAATGTCACGCGAGTTGAGTGCAACTCAATACATTCGCTTAGTTTACAGTCCATTACGGCTGGGAATTAATCCATTAGAACGGTTACACAGCGGCGTTAATTAACATCACTCTCGCGTGGATTAACATCTTTCCCGATAACAATCGGCAATCCAAAATTAAAATGTATGTTGTTGTGTGAATGAGATGCTTATTCCTCAATACGCTTTAAACATTTTAATTAAATAGAGTAAGAGAGAGAGAGAGAGAGAGAGAGAGAGAGAATTTAAATAATTCGATAAATTTAACCTATCACAACGAATGTAACAAATATGTTTATCAACCATAACAAATAAATTTCAAAAGGGTGCACAAAGCAACCGTGAGTTAAGTGAAAAATAGAGAATTACGTGAGCAATTCAACGCGAGTAGAGGCGCAACACCGCTCTGTTTCGCGAAACCACCGTTTTGGAAAGCACTAATCGGATATTCCGGTAACAGGAGACACACAGGAGAACTCGGAGAACTCGTCTTCGAGGTCTACTTACGCCGACAGAGAAACGTACATATATTTTCATTTGTCACTAACGAGACACTAACCTCGGGAACGGTCAGAGCGAAACGTGACTGTTAACTCGCGCGACGAGCAGCAGGTGGAAGCTCCTAAGACGCGCGTCAAAGCAAGACTGCCCCAGTTCCATCGTATTACCGCTATTATATTCCGCGGCAGCGGCCAGCGTATATACGTACATGCGTGCGTGCACGCGTGAACGGAGCCAGCCTCTGAGCTCATATGCCATTTGCGTGCGGCGGTGATGCGTCGGTGCACGCATATACGGCGCACTCGCGATTCGCCGGTGCGGCGCGGCGCGTGTGTGCTCCGAAAAAGGAACAGGAAGGCCGGGACCCGGAGCGGAGCGGACCGGGCCGCGAGCGCAAGACGCGGCATCGAACGATTAATCATGACTTTCGGACGTTGCGTCATGTACCCCGTCGTTGCGCCCGAGGAGGAGTGAATCGAGGGAACGCGACGAGCCCTGATCGTTCTTCTCTTTTCTCTTCAAAAGGTCTCAAAGGATCGGCGCCGATATACAAATCGATCTCACGGCGTGACGGATATACGATTATTACGAGAGTTTAAATAATCGATCTCACGCGTGTATTTTGATGAGTGGTGATCGATGGCTTGTAATCATTTTAAAATGTGATCGGTGACTTGTAATCATTTTAAAATGTCACGCGATTCAATTACGTTGCGAAGCGATGTATACGTGATAAAACACTTGATATCCTTGAAAATATTAATAGGTTGATGTACCATTCGCTTCGATGTGCCGTAAAATAAGAATCGACAAAGAAATGCAAATGGACACAAAAGCTAGCTACTAATGCTAATGTAACAAAGCTGACGACCGCCTGCGCGGACGGTGACGAATGTCGATCGCGCAGCGCAATCCGGATGAAAGGCATCAGATAAGCAAGCGATTACCTTGCATTTCACGGGTCGAAACGGGTCAGTTAACGCCCGGACGATCAGTCAACAATCACGCTATAAAGAAGATAGATGAGTGCGTGCGTGTGTGAGTATACGTGTGTTTGCGCATCACGAAGGACGAAGTGAAAATAAAAGTAGGTTTATTACGAAGATAGAGGGATAATATGTAGAAAGTACGATTTCTATAAAGAATAAATAATATTTTGAAAATAAATTTAACGGAAATAAATACATTTAAATATGCCAGCTTGTAATTTTTCCGTTGCACGTAATTTATTTATATATTCTGCTACGTTTATCTACGGTTTTCAATATGAATAAATATTTTTTTAATCGCTCGTAACACGCATCCATTAGTATGTGCCTAGATACATAACAAAATTTTATATTTTTCTAGTAATTTTAGGTAAAATTTATTTGAGAATTTAAATTTAATTTGATTGCCAATTTAAAAGTTGATATTCGAAAGATTAGAAGATAAAAAAATAAATGATAAACTTCAATCGACGGACTACAGGAAATGCACTCTTCGCGGTAACTAAATTATGAAATTAAATTATGCGTACTTGTTCAATCTGTTTAATACATTGAATAATTTATTAATAACAAGTCAATAACGGCTACTGCACTCGTTTGAGATGAAATTTGTCCTCTCTCGAGATAAAGATGTAGAAAACAAGACGCGAATGCAGAGGCACGTATGCGAACCGTCCGTGCGGAGAGCTCGATTAATCATAAATTTGGACATTGCGTCATGCAGCTCATCGTCATGCTCGGAAGCGCGTCAGATAAACCCGCGGTTGCGTTACGTTGCACGCGTGTATGCATGTATGTGTATGTGTGTGTATGTAAAATAAAATCGGCAAACTAAACCAGCGAAGAACACCATTGAGAATAACATTTGCATATATTACAATATACATCAACTCTCGAAGAATAAAATTAGAAAAACTTTGAATTCAGCTAAAAAAAATCATCGTATAATTTTAGTGTCACGAAAGAAAAACTTATTCTGTACGCACAAATCAAATCTGCCAATAAAATGAAGCAATTTGTCTCATTAATGGATAAAATATGATAATTAATAACGTGTTGAATTAATGTTGAATTAAAAAATCTCAAGATATACTGTATCGATCATATTATACGTTATTCATGTCAAAGTTAGATACATATCGAAATTCATATTGAAACACGTAACGAAATTTATATTCAAACAAGGAAACTGATGAAACGAGATTAAAGAGCAGATGGTCCGTGTACCTGAGAAAATACTTCAATATTTACACTACGGTATGAATCATCGTACTCTTATGTAAATAGCGATAAATGTAATACAAGATCATGCGCAATCAATTCACACTTGGAACGTTCTTAGGATACCACTTATATACATATACCGCATTATAATATATATATATATATATACATATATATAAAGTGAAAGTGCAACGCGAATGAATTGACTTGAACTTAACATACATACATAACGCAGAGAAACTCAGAGAACCATTTAACCTTAAACTTGCCATTCTATCGAGTCCTTGCCTTTCCGTTTGCTATTATAATTTTTATATATTATACTATTAAAAAATGCAATTAATTCGGTTTTTTTAACAATGCATATACATTCAAAGCACCCTTAAAACAGTAGTTGCAGAACGTAGTGGGCGGCCACGTTCCCGACGGCTGATTTACATTTAATATCAACAAAACTTATTTTTATCGACGACTATCTATATCGTTTCGCTCGCGGTAGCAAGTATCTAAGTGTCCGACTGTTCCGCTCTCTTCGCGGAAGTTATCTTTGAATATCGATTGCTTACGAGGAAATTGCTGTGCCACGTTACACTATTCGTTCTGTGCTTCGATCTTTACGATGTTATCTATACACCGTTATTGAAACAGGGAAAACGATTCACGACGATTCTATCTCTCTAATGTGCAGATATTGGAGTTGAAAGATTACATGCGCACGATACATATCTCGCCTCGAATTATTTCATTCGAATGTGAATCATCCGCGTGCGTGCTGCGTGTAGAATCCGACGGCGAAACCGAGGAGACTATAATCGGATTACGATTTGCGGTCGGCTATGCTTTAATATCTATCCTAATTGTCACTTGGACACCGAGTTTGAATGTTTTTGAAGTTACCTGCGGTATCAAAGAAAATACACACGAAGCGCGCAGGACATTAATCACTATCGCGCATCTGTATGCGTTCGCCAGTGAAGGAGCAATTATTAAGCGAGCGGCGCGCGTTGTATTATGTGAAACTCTGAAATTGTAATTTTCACAATGCGAGGTCGCGCACGACCGCAACTGTGCGAGCGTATTATTCTTTCTCGTATTTAAATTGTGTGGTCAGCCACCAAGAAGGAGTTAACCGCTGCGACTCCGCGCCGGGTGTTCGGAGGAATTTACCGGCTTCGCTCGTTCCGAGAAAGTCGGCATTCTTGTGAAGTGAATCTGGAGCGTGTCGCGATTTGATAAGACGATACAGTCGACGTGAGGGCACGATGTGCCTTCTCAAAGAGATGCTAACCATACTGAGACTGTCAAAATATCGATATTATCGCGTTTCTAGAGTGCTTTATTAATATCGGTACTTTCAAAAGTCAGTACTTTAAAGGAATTTATTTTATTTTACTATATACGATAAAAGCAACACAATTAGTTTTATTAATATTAATCCTGTTATATTAATTAAATCCCGTAATTTTTGGATTTAACTATATACACGAAAAGCACACCAATTAGTTATATCAATATTAATCTTGTTACATTAATTAAATCACCGCCAGAGAACCAGAGAAACCAGTGTCATTTGCTCAACGCGTGTTGTGATACATTTCCACCAGATGCAGATATCGTACGATATATGAAGAAAATATAGAACTGTTGGAGCACCGAAATAGACAGTCAGATATTTTTTCACCGGCATCGGAAAAAATAAAAATAAAACTACTCGAAACAACAGCCAAGTCTCGAGTCACGAAGTATTGGAGAAACTATTTATATCGGCAAGAAGGGAAAATAGAGCGGCAATCTGTCCTATTGGACAGATCTCTCTTGGAATGCAGCAGTAGATATTCGACAATCGTTGTTATTATTATTATTATATGTATCCAGTGCTTTAAGAGTTTTTAAGGTAGGTCGAATAATCGAGCCGACGTTATTATTGATCTAATAATAACAACGTTTAAAATTTTGTTCTTATTTTTTTAACGTACGATATAAGATGCAGGCATTGTTACGAAAATCGAAATGTCGAATTTATGGAGTCAAAAGTATGAATCGATCACATTTGTGGAAAAAGAAATGTTCGTTTTTGGTACGATTAGGGTCAAAAAGTGCTTTGCGGTGTACGAAGTAACTGTGCGAAGGACTCCCAGATGGTTTCCACTTCATTCGAATAATGCTGAAGCGGCTCGTGATGGGGCATAAATCACAACGTCACCGCGGGTTGATCAATGGCCCCTTCTAAAAACGGGCGCAGTTCCCACCCACTCCATGCAATCCATAAATCGCGCGAATCAGCATCGTGCATCACATTTAATACAATTTTACAGCTTGGCTTCCCGGAAATCGCGTTTAACCGACAACGAAGCGTGCCGCGAGAACGGGTGACAATACGTACGCGCGTAATTGATATTGATACGCCGAACTCCCGCCGTCGTCGCCCGTATTGGGATAAATCCCCATAAAGTGTTTTTCGAAACAAAGCCATCAACCACCCACTAAGAATCCACGAATCCATGGAAATAGCCGGATGAAATCATTCTCACGCGCGACGTGCTGTGCATTCTACGCTGCGACGGCTTCTAACATATAAGTACGAATATAGGAGTGGGCGATGGAAAGCAATCCGAAACACCATTGACGCACGTATACTATTTGCGTGACTGATTTCACCTAAGGAAACCTAAACACAATAATTTCGAAAGCAAGCCTGGGCTCGTACAGCTCTCGTATCTCAGCTCTCAGCACGCAAGCGATTAGTATTACTTTATTTTCAATTCGACACCAATTGCTAACCTAAATGAATAGTGAATTAAAAGTCGAGAATCGTAAGTTGAGACTTGGCGTCGACAAATAATTGAAAGTCTAATATAAGATTGAAAACTGAAAAATTTAAAACGATCAAAGTTAAAAATTGATAAAGTTCAAATTTTTAATCTCGATCACTTAGTTCTGAAATGTAGCTTCTCTCAGTTTTTCAGTCTTACACAATTAGTTAGACTCTCAACTATCTGCTGTCAACGCCAAGTCTCTCAACTTTTGATTGCCGACTTTTAATACTCTATACTCAACTGGATACTGGTCGTATCAT